AGAGACAGACAACCAAGCACACTCACATTCACACCTACAGACAATTTAGAATCACCAATTAACCTCAACATGTTTTTGGACTGTGTGGGAGGAAGCCAGAGAACCCGAAGAGAACCCACACCGCATGGGGAGAACATGCAAACGCAGAAAGAAAGAAAGATTCCAGGTGTCCTCACCGGGACGCAAACTGGCGACCTTCTTGCTGAGAGGCAACGGTGCTAACCACCGCCCCACCTTGCAGCCCTATAGGTGACCAAGGATACTTTAACTTAACATCCACTTAATCTTTGTTTCTTTCTGCTTTTCCCCCTTTCTATTAGTTTTAGACTCATTTAAAATCTTCATTGAAGCGACCCGACTCTTAGAATAGAAGATCCTGCCATTATAGTGTCTGTTTGGGAATGTAATAGAAAAAAAAGTTTGCAAAAAGAAAGTGAAAGCGTGCTATTATTGATGAAAAATGTTGTCTTATTTACATCAAGTGCTGGGAGGATGAAGTAAAGTTCGACACAGAAATGATTAGACTAGTCAAATCAAAGGCACATTGAGTTATGAATTCATTTATTTAAAACTTCAGACATGCCACATCATGAAAGGAAAAACTGACGAATGCACTATAAAGCAAATAAAACTGAGATTTTAGCTCCTTACTATGCTGTCATGTTAGTCCCATTATGTCAATGCTTTGTCGCAGTTTCTCAAATTTTAGATTTACCTACACAAATATTTCACTTATGAGGATATTTACTTTGACAGTAACGTGTGGTTTCTTTTATTTATTTTCCTGGATTTAAAAAAAAGAAAAAGTTTAGGTTTACACTGCAAAACAAGCTCCTTTTGAAAGGTGTTGTAGAAATAAAGTTTACAATAACATTAATAATAATAAACTGAATATGTACATCGAGGAAAAATGCAGATAAAGTAATGACTAAGATGTGTGTAGTATTTTGATGAATAAAATTCTGAAAATTAAAGAATCGGTACAGACTTTTTTTTAAAGTTGAGAACGAACAGAAAACCGGATCATCAAATATCCCTTCACCAACACATTTGCAAAAACTAACATTACATCTTATGCTTCAGTTGCCTGATCAGTAAGGCTCCAAACGATGGCATCGTACAACAGGTTGACTTTGAAATGATCCCGCAACTGCAACAAAAAATAAAAGCAAAGATTACTTTTAAACCATTTATAAAACAAAAAACTGAGCCATTCCTTTTCACACATACTCCAACTTTACATTCTTTAGTAGACATGAAAATTTGATCAGTTTTGGATATTAAAATAGTAGTTGTTGTTTTTTTTCTTGTTACCTCCTAAACTGTGTATTTGTGTTGTGTACTAACCCACCTGTTCAAAGACATTTTTCCTTGTGGATTCGTTGTCACAGAGGAGAGACTCTGCAGACGAGCACACCATTGACAAGCTGATTTCGACTTCGTCTGGAACTGGGGAACAAACAGAATGTGTTAAACCTGCTGGTGGGGGGTTATTTCTGTCCACTGTGGTCAAAGGTTAGCAGCTATACACAGTCTCAATTTAAAGATTTACTCAAACTATGACAGCAAAGTACATTTTTGATTCTTCATTGCAGCCACCTTTTTGCTTTGATAGTAGTTTTCCACCCGATTTGAGCTCTCAACCAGCCTTATGAGACTGTCACCTGAAGATTTTATTTTAAAGAAGTTCCCTCAACTGCTTGGCTGCTTTTCCTCATCCAAAAGCCATCTCAGCTTTGTTTAGGTGGCCTGGTTGTCTGACGCTGTACTCCATCGCTCTGCTTCTTGATCAGAGAGCCCTTGAAGAGCGTGGAGGTGCATTCTGATGAATAAATGTTGGTCCCACTGGCTTCAAACCGGATGGGATGGTGGTGATGCAGCGTCTTTGAATTCTGAATCCCTTGGTTATGCTGCTCTAGGTTTAGACTGCTGGGGGGATTCTAATGATGTATTGAGCTCCACTACTATACTCTCCTCTCTTCCATACGCTCATACATCAACGTTACATACAGTCAGCCTCAAATGTATTCATATCCTCCCATTAAAGAAGGGAAAAAAACAGCTGTCACTGAAATAAGTTGAAATTGATGAAAGTAATAATAAACAAAAATTTAATGAAAATCGCTTTTTGAGCCAATCACTGCAATCAAATGTTTTCTGTAACATTCAGTCAGACTTCTGAACCTGTTGACAGCTATTTTGGCCCACTGCTCATCAGCAGACATTTGTGATTGATTTAAAGACACACAATCGATCAAAAACTGTCAATTATGTGCAAATCTTTCAGTGGCTACTTTAAGAAATCTAAAATATGACACACAGTTGTTCTTTTTTGTATCTTATTTTGTGCAAAAAATAATAAACAAAATAAAGAAAACTCAATTTTTTAAGGTTCTGAAGTGTAGTTACGTGTTTCTGTTCAAAAACAACATGATCGGATATATTGTTATTTAATTTTTAAAACTAAAACGTAACCTTTAGAAGCCCTGTATTGGTCGGATGGATGCTGCATTCAAGAAAGCTCCAAAAGCCTGAGGGTCATATCTGTAAGCTGGCTACCAAACTGCAAAGTTTTCAGTGACTAGTCACCAATTTTGTGTTTATTTACCATCTTCTGTGTTTGATTTGTTTATAAATGCATATTAATCCCCAACAAAATATATCAAAAGGCTTATTTGCAGAAATCTGATACTGGATGGCAGCCTGAAAGTAACAAAACGATAACAAAAAGAAAAGCTATGCTTCGAGAAAATGGCTTGTTTATATGAATTATATGCACATAATTATTAATAGGCTGAAGCACCCAGCAGTTTGGCTTTAAGGTCTGAGAGTCTCACCTGTTGTCGCATCTGTAGTTGCTGGGAGACTTTTGTGTTCACCTGCCAATGTATACACTTTAAAGAAGTATTTGGTTCCTGATGTCAGGTTATAAAACGTATGGGTGGTGGTGTCAGAGATACTGTCAGACCAGCTCTGACCCCAGAATGTGGAGGAGAGTTCGACAAGGTACTTGGCTTTTGTTATGTTGCCGGGGGCGGTCCACTTAAAGGTGATTGAGGTTTTATCGACAGAAGCGTTGGTGGGATTTTTTGGTGGAGATGGCACTGAAAAAAGGGAAGAGAGGGAAAGGACACATCGCTGGGTTAATCAATCAGTGATGAAACACAGTGAAAAGAGCTGTGGTGTGCACACGATATCTGTCATTCAAGTGAGACTAAACAGCAAATCAAGTGATGGATAATAATGCCTGAATAAACTGAAGACTAAATCTAAACTAATAGCAAGTCTATCAATCTGTCAAAATAACTAACGGTTTATTTATAATTTACTCAACACTGAAAGTTCTGTCCATGTGTGATGATAATTTAACTGCTGCTTTACTTACAGGAAGAAAAAAAAAGGACTGATGCGACATAGATGTAACAAATGATTTAACGGCACCTTACAAACTGTGACTGTGTATTTAGCTCACCGTATCAGTATTGATGCTAAAATGTGGACTAAATCACTTCACACAACTGATGCTACTTTTACTTGTGCTATCTGATGGTATGCATTTCAAAAATGCGCTTTATTGAAAATAATACAGAAATCCTACTTGGTCGGACCTAGTAGGGCTACGGTCACAACTTTTACAGAAAAGTGACCAAGGTGCTCATTCAGACATGATGCTGACATGTTCAGATGCTGTCAGATTATACAGACACCTGTATGTGTGAAGTCTGTGGACTAGATGTGCCTTATTAGTAATAATGATGAAGTATTAAGTTATGCTCGCTGTTACCACAGTCACTATGGCATCACAGGAATGCTAAAATAAAAAATAAATCTGTTAAAAAAAAAAAAAGGAAATAAATGTGTAAATATAAAGAAGAACAAATAAAAGAATACATTTAAAAAATAAATAAAAATATGGAAATATAACGGTAAATTTTGTTTTTCCATTTTGTTTCAGCTATTTCCTATTACTTTTCCTTTATGTCTTTGTCTTTTCCTTTTGTCATTGCTTTTTCCATTTTGCCTTTGTTTTCACTTGATGGACTGAGCTGTCAATCAAATGGCTTTGGGCGGGGCTTTCTGTCCAGGTGAGTAGTCAATACCTGATCACAGGATTCCTGCATGGCGCTAGCTCCTAGTGCGGCTAAAGGGAAGTGACATCACCTTGGGGCATGCAGTTTGACTGGAGAAAGGCGGAAAAATAAATATGGAATATGTGGAGGAATTAAGGAGAGGTGTTCAACGAGAACTTTTAACAATTGCTCGGTATGTGAAAGAAAATTTTCAGCTGGACTACATTTTGAGGATGGTAGAAGATGTCAGCGAAAGTCTTGGGCAAACATCTGCGCTGACCAATATGGACAGTGACCCGGTTGTGTGGCACAATGTCTGTTCTTGCAATGAAAAGTGGAAAAAGTGATGACAAAAGGAAAAGACAAAGATAAAAAGGAAAAAACAAAGGGAAAAGCAAAGACAAAATGTACCTTTATATTTCCATATTTTTAAAAAATTGATTCTTTTATTTATTCATAATAAACGTGTAAATATATTCACACATTCATTTCCTTATTTTTTTAACAAATGTATTTTTTTTTATTGTGGCACTCCTGTGATTCCATAAGGTACTGGTAAGTCAACCAGGATTTAAATCCTCATGATTCTAACTTTAAACACAAAAGAAGCGAAAACAACTCACAGGTAAAATTGGAGAATGCTGTTGGTGGGCCTTTGAGATGTCCACTAACGGCGCGGACGACCACAGTGTAGTTGGATGCAGGCTTCAGTGTTTTAAACTCAATTCTAGCTTGTGTTATGTTTGATTTTGTGTCCACCGTTTCCTCATCCAGCAGAAGTTCAATAGCAAAAGATGAATAATTCCCCTCAGGGAGGCCCCATGTGGCATTAAGGGAGTTATCATCTGTTTCCACATTCAGGTTTGAAATCGGTCCAGGGGCTACATAGGAGTCACAAAGTCTGATAAGTGACACTCAATACAGCGTGAAAATGTTTCTGTGGATCAATAAATAGCAGCCGAATAATTAGCAAAAGTTACCAGTATAGGCAAAGATGGTTGTGGCGTTTCCCTTCAGGGTGTGATTAGTCAGTGTTGTCACCACAAGGGTGATTTTGTTGCCGATCGGCAGCTCTGTTACTTGCACCGCACACAGAGTTTGGTTCACCTCTTTCTTAAACAATGTGCTGTTACGAAGAGAAACAGAAATATAGAAGTAAAAACTGCTGCTGGTCGCTGTATTGGCATCTCCAGTGTAACAAGTGTCAGAAATTCAGACATACCACTAGCTTGTATAATCATATATGCATAGTTTGTGTCTTCAATCGGTCTTAATAAAATTACTCAATGAGTTCTCTGAAAACAGTAAAGTTAAATTAAATGGAGCAAGAAATACAAGAAGTTCAACTTGTTCAACTTTATGTAAAGTAATAAAGTATATTAGGTAATCTGGCTGAACTCTTTAAAGGTCTACAACGGGTTTTCTTGAAGCATCATCACGTCCCATCTCTTTGCAATGAAGTCAGCAGAGCAAAAGGAGCTAAATGTATAATACTGTCGCCATTAGGTTGCTGTTATGGAGCCCATTCTGACAGATATGCAGTTATATTGCTCTCTTCAAAGCCACTAGACACAGTTTTTATTTCGCACATTTAAAACAACACCCATTGAACCAAACTGCTTTCCAGTAGAGTAATAAGATTGGCTAAATTTGACTAACAAGTTTAATTGTTAAGGTTAGGCCACCACAACCCCAACCCCAAAGTCAAAGCAAATACACAGACTCATTAATGTAGTGGTGGACCGGTTACTCCTGAGTTCTGTGAATTCAAATTATTCGTTTTGTCAACGGAGTCCGGCAGCTTTGAAGAGCTGAAGAGAGTACAGATGGATATAACGGCTTGAGTTCCAAGTGCGAAAACGCCATCTGACAAAAGAAAAAAGGTAACATGGCAAAAATAGTTAAAATATAGTTTACGCTTAAACTACCCCAACCCCTCCTGCTACCCCTCATCCCCACTATCACCCCAACCGGTTGGGGCATGATGGCCGTCTTCCCTTAGCCTGACTCTGTTGGAGGTTTATTTTTTGCTCATAAGGAAACCAACTTTGGATTGTTGGGTTCTCGGTTCAAAATTCGTAAGGTCTGTACTCTGTTAAACGCTGTGAGATGACATATAAGTGTCTCATACAACCAGCTTCTTAGAAACCAAACTATCCCTTTAAAATAAAAGAAGCTTTAGTGAAAAGGAACAGGCCTTTGGAAAGCCTTTAGGTTCTTGAAGACGTTTCACCTGACATTCAGTTCCCTTGAAGATATTTCACATAAACCTCATGATGGTGCAAGAAGAAAACTTGGGGTATCATCAAGGCCATATGATCAGTCCTCTGGATACCGTGTCTGTACCAACTTTCATGAAAAGTCATCCAAACAGTGGTTGACATACTGGCAGAAAATGGTAGACTGTCAGACCAGTAGTCTGGCATTTGCGGGCAAAAGTGCAAATGCAAATGAATCTCACACAAACCACATCGCTTGCTTCTGGACACCTCTGGATACACCTTCAACCAATCCGAGCAATGAAACACATCATGTAGCACTGACGTAGAAAAGTGCGCTCCTCTGCAGTCACTATATCAAACTCAGCCTGGTCCAGAGTAGGCAACGCGGTGTGAAAAATTTAGCAACACATTCTGTACTAGCAATCGAAAAATACATACTGATCACTGCTGTTCATAGCCTTCACCAAGAAACCCGTGAAATTTCCGTCAGGTGGCCCCCAGGAGAGAACCAGTGAGTTTTCGGTATTGTTAGATGCAGTCATGTCGGACACTATATCGGGCTCTAAAAGAAACAACAAAGAGATAAACAGACAACATGACAGTGTGTACTGGTTACAACCCCCCGGTGCAGCTTGGTACAGGTCCCTGTTCAGGTTAGGTGCTTTTGCTGATTTGAATTTCATATTATGTGAGCAGCAAATGAGATGCAAAAACCTCTTCCTCATACGAACATGCTTTCGATGTGTTTACACTGGTATCGAATATATAGCGTACTTCCACAATTTCATTTAGCTTTTTAGCCAAAGCGACGTACATCTGAGAGAGGATGCAACACAAGCAAGGAGAAAGCAATCTAGATAAGCGCCATAGAACAAGTTCAAGTGTGTTGATGTCAATAGCAGGCAGAGTGGGAGGTAATCAGATTTTTTTTTTCCTATTACCACCCACACTGCCTACTTCCCACAGTGCGTACTTCCTGTTTAATTTCCCTACGACTCAATTTTAAACAGAAAAACGCATTATGTATTACAAAATGATTACTCAGCATTATAGTAATTTATGCACGTGCGATGTAAACTCACTGGTGTACACTGTGATGGTAGATTCTTCACTCCTTGTTGAGCTGTCCTTGACTCCTGAGAGGACGGTGATCGTGTAACTCCCTCCAGGTATCAATCCAACAACCTGTTTGTGGTTTGTGGCTTTGTTAATTTCAGTCTCACTGCTCCCGACCTTGAAAAGAAAGAAATCCAGGCTTCCAGCTGGTTTTTCCCAGCTCACATCAATGGATGTTTCTGTAACTCTGGTGACTGTCAAGTTTTCGACTTTGTTGGGTGCTGAAAAAAAGGAGATAATAGTCAGAGCTTCAGGTTTTTGCAGTACGACTGGTGGTGCGTTCATTTATCTGTTTCGAAAGTAAAGAAGATGTAAGCAATGATCTGATGTAAAAAAAAATGAAGGTTCATGAATGAATTAATGTGCAACACGAACATAGACTGTATAAAAGATGGACGTAGCAACCGGCCCTGAAAAATGAAGCCAACCCAGAAGCGTCAAAAACCTACGTCCGCGAGCTGCTGGCTCTAAAAAGCCCTGGCTCCCATGGACTTGAATTGGAAAAGAAGTGATCAGAGATCACAAAATACCACATTCCTACAGCTCAGGATTTTTTTCTTATTAGTTTTCATAGTCAAATCCAGAGATCAGGTGGCCAATCTGAAAATAAATCAATACTGAATTTAAAAAAAAAAATCATCAAAATTTTGCGGGGCAAGGGGCGTGGCTGGCTTGATTGACAGTCGGCAGCGACGATACAGACGAAGCGAGCAGAAGGCGGTAAATGTGGGCGGGCAGAGAGGGCCCGCCTCTCAATCCGTCTGACCAATCGCTGCTCCTATGGCTCCGCCCCCGTCCAACGATTTTTGCGTCACTGGCTCCAAAAATCCAAGATGTCAACCAGGAAGTAGCAAAACCCTGGCTTCATTTTCTCAGTGCAGAAAGCAACGGGTGACGTCATGGTAGCTACGTCCATCTTTTATACAGTCTATGATCACAAACAGTGTATTTCTCCTTTACTTGCTCACAGTTGAATGAATTTGTCACATTTTCTTGGCTAAAACTTAAAACATCACTTTTTGCATGTGTCACTTTAATGCAACCGGATGCAACTCACTGGTGTAAAAAGTGACACTCTGTGGGTTCAGCTCTCTCTCACACTTCACAGAGAACACCTGGACCGCGTAGAGAGTGCCGGCTGTGAGGTTGACGAGGTCGTGAGTCGTTTCGGTTTTATTTTCCATCAGGTCTTTGTCGCCTTTAGCCACCACGCGATAATGGGTGATGTCACCGGGCACCTTCCGCCATGTCAGAGTGGCGCTCTCTGGGCTCAAATTGGTCACATTGACTTCTCCAGAGAAATGCTCTGTTTGAAAATAGGACGAGTAAGGTGTCAAAATGAAGTGTAATAAATCAATGCATTTGTTGTGTTGTACTCTTATTCTCCCACTGTTAAATCAAGTGTATGAGCAACTATAGTAAGAATCTCACAAGACAGTTCACTGTATAGATATGAAATATGCACATAAAAGCAGATAAAGTACATTCGTTATTCATTTTCAATCATTATTTTGCACTTACAACATGCAGCTCTAACTCCCATTTTCGTTGATTATAATGGAAGCTTAGTGATGCAGCTCAATTGAACAGTCATGTACTGTAGCCATGTTGCAACAGATTAACAGTCTTTACCTTGAATAACTTGATTTAAGTAAGATATTTGACTGGACTGGAAATATTGCCTCAAAAAGTTGATCACTAAATATATAAACATTGTATTTGTTTTGCTGAATCATCACCAAGACTTGGTGGTTTTATCATAAAGGGAGTTTAAAAGATAAGTATTTTTACAGAATGTGTGGATTTGAACTAATAAATAAACATTTGATTACATGGTTGCATTGGTTTGGAAATATTAAAGTGCTGCTTATTTCAGCAAACACTTAATTAGGGGATATGAGTGTAGAAATGACCACCCAAGTCATGTGTACTGTAATTTTTGGGTGAAAACAAAAGAGAGTCCTACCTTCATAACAAATAAACGGCAAAAGCTCCAAGCAGCTTTTTTCAACCCACGGCCCAAAGCTCAGCATGGCCACGCAGGAGTCCTCAATGTACTTCTCATCAGACTCTGAAGGAGCTGGCGTTGGCATAGGTGACCGTGTACACGCTGGAAGTCCAGTGAACAGTGAGCTTGTGATGTTTTCAGCGTCGGCTCCAAAGTACTCCCAGTCTGTCACATTTGCTTCGGTGAAGTTGGCGAAATCGTTCCTTGTCGCTGCAGGGCAGGTGCAAGAGCAGCTACAGCAGTCTTTGTCTGGGGGAGAGGGTTTCAACACTGGCCAACCGGGGTACCAGTTCTGGAAGGTGAGGGGATCTCCATTGGACCAGTGGGACCAAGACATGCTGACGTTACCGATAGAGTTGCTGGTTGAGTTGAGGTTCTTGCGCAGGCCGGTCCAGTGCTCGGAGCTGAGGTTCTTGACGATGGTCTCGATGTTGTCATGGTTCAGAGTCGCCAATTCTGTGAAGCAGACCTGATTGGACGTGAAAGGTGGCAGTCATTCTTTTCTAGCTGAGCTGAACAGGCAGATGTGAAGAGCTTGTGTGCATCAGTTCATAAATTTACAGAGTGGGACAAAATATTAGAAGCTATGTAGCACACGGGTCATTCAATGAAAAGTCAAGTACTGCCTCCCACCTGACTCCATACAAAACAACAGGTTTTTACACACAACAACTTTAGTTCATTCAATAAAGTCAAAATGCTACCTTCATGTTATAAATATCTTCTGAGATACGTGGCCTCGAGGTCGCTTTTTAACTTAAACCAGGAAACAGCCACATGAAATTTTCAGCAATAAAAAGAACATCCGGTAACAATTCTGATCACCTATTCAAAGTGTCACAATCTAAAGCCAAAATCTTGTTTTTGTTCAGTATCATGGAGTATATCATGGTCGCAAAAGTGCACCAGTGCAATGTCTATGATGGAGAGTAAGCAGAAACAAGCGTTCCTACCCTCGATGTGGGTTATCTTATAATTCACTGGAGAAAACCTTTAAAAAGTGCATTTTGGGGAAGGTTTTAAAGGTTATTTCACCATGTGGGATAGCCGGTAAGTCACAGCATATTAGTTTTTAATTACAACTTGATATGAGGCTCATCTTCTAGCCATGACTTCTTCTGAGCCAATGTTGGAGTATTGGAATATTTTTAAACTTTATTAAATATTTTGTATGTAGCTTCTGTGACACGGACATTTCCAGTGCGGGGGATTGATAAAGTCTATCATATCTTGTATACTAAATGTATTGTACATTAAAAAACGTAGCTAATTATGAAGGGGATGAGTTTGAACGGTTTACTGATTTGGATGTTTTTTTTTTTAATGGAATGAGCCACAAATCAGCTCATTGCAGTGTTTGATTAAATCCTAATTCAATGTTCAATTTGCTCACAGGCACAGATGGACATGTAGTGACTGTAGTGAATATCTTCTCGACTGCAAGATGGATTATTTGGTACAGACAGCTAAAATCTCTGCTGACTAACTAATAATCTTCGGGAGCAGTGACTTCCTGTTGTCTTGACAACACTAAATGACGTTCACCGGATGGTCATGAAAGTTGCTGACCTCAGCCGAGAAATACTCGCAACCCGACGTCAACCACAGCTCGCCGAGTCCCCACTTCTGTTTTTGTAAACCAATGAGATACACTGTGCTAATAATTCAGCTTTAAAGGCACCACAAGGCTGATTTTGCAACCCTTTACAGAGCAAAGCCAGTCGTACCCCAATTGCTAGTAATAATGCTAAGCTAATATAACTCCATGATGACAGTGATAAACATATTACCCAAAGTCACATAATATTCCTCTGAGTTATGGATGAAATAAATGATTCAGTCAGTGCTGATAGCTATTTATTTCCATCCACTATTACACATGAAGGCAGCAATACTAGGTACTAATACTATGATTATGAATTAAATTAACATGAACCTGATTATAACAGAATGACAACATAGTGTGGGTAAAAAATTCAATTTAGTGACTCTGCACACAATGGCAGCTTTTTTTTGTTTGTTTTTACCCGAAGAGCCTGTGGCTATTTTCACTGTTTCACTACCTTTACTTTTAAGCGCCTATCTTGGTCATTACAAGAACTGGTTATACATGCAGGATCTTTTTGGGGGTTTTTTTCAGAACAGTCTAGGCTATCCAGATCTTTCATCGTTTGGTCTGATAACAATTCAAGGAAAAATCACAGAAAAATATGCGTTATGACATTGTGCAATGACAATATCAGTACTTCAGTTCATCCAAAAACCATGCAGTGTCACTGATACGTGCAATAATTTTGTTTTTTAGGACGAGTATTTACGTATATTTAGTTCTTTTTTGTTATTACTATATTTCATGTCGTAAATGTTTGCACTATCTTAGCTGACGTAACATTGCGAATGTCCCGACTGTGGCGTTGATAAAGGGTTATCTTATCTGTTTACATGTATCTCACTATAAAATGCTGGCAGTGGAGACATCTGTCATTATTATGTAAGAGAGGAATCGAGTAATATCAGAACCATGATGGTGGAATACTGTATGATGTAGATATTGGGGAAAATATTTGCTTAGTGACTAAAATTGTATTTGCTGAAGTGTTCACATGCTGAGAGGACAAAGTGCGTCCGTCCGGCTCTGCGGCTCTGATCTGACAACTGTAGACATAAATGCTGTTCCACATATGTGCCTTAGTGATTCAAAAAGAGAAATGTCTTCAGGATTTTGAAGCAGATTGGCCTCATGTTTCAGCGTGTTTTTAAATACAGTAAACCTGCAGTTCAGGTTGTACCTGGCAGTGGTTCCTGGCCTCATCCCAGGTGAGATTATGGTCCTGGATGAAGTACTGTCTGTCTGCAATGCTGTACATTAACATCAGAGCTGGGGAGAGGCATACAGACAGGAGACAAAGTTGTCCATAGGGTTTTCATGTTAACAAATAACTAGTGAGAAGGCAGTGTTAGGTTTTTTCTCTCCAGTTTTCTCTAATATATATATCATTATGCAAACACAAAGTAATTCCTATTTGTCTGTAGCAATAGTGAGTACACTTAAATTGTTTTGGTTTCTATTGAGAATGCAACAAATAAAAGCACATCCATCCATCCATCCATTATCTATACACCGCTTAATCCTCACTAGGGTCGAGGGGAGCTGGAGTCTATCCCAGCTGACTTAGGGTGAAGGCAGGGGACACCCTGGACAGGTCACCAGTCTATCAAACAGCACATCTTTCATCCCAATTAAAATAAATTCAGATCAAAATATTTCTATTGCAACCTTTAAGGTGAATTACACTAAAAACTCTACACTCACAAAAACATTAAACGCTGGGTTGCCATGTTTGCTTAAACCTACGAATGATTTCAAAGTCTTGATTCGTCACAGGCAAACTCAGTATCTACTTACAAAACTCTTAAGACTTGCTTATAGCTGTTAAATTTTGCTGTAACTGCTTTATCGAGTGATATTTTATGTGTTGGATCTTTTTTTACTTGCAATATCTGTTTTTACTGTAAAGTACTTTGTAGCTTTATTATTGATAAGTGCTATATAAAGTTATTTTTACTTTGGCCGTTGATTAGTTTGTCATCAATTTCTAACATAAACCAAACAATAAGTTGATTTATTGAGAACAAAGAAAAAATAAACAGATTCAATGATATTATCTACAGCCCTAATCACTTTGCCTTTAGAGGGTGTAACATAAAATAATCACACTCACCCCAACATATTAAAACACAGACTGGATCCTGCAGCTTTCCCATATCGGTTTCCTGTAGCCTCTAGTTTCACCTCAGGTTCGGTTCTGTACTAAAAACAAACATTAGGTTGGAAATTAACACAAAAAAACGAACTAAAACAATCCTCTAAAGGCCAAACATGAAATGGTTCATTACTCACCCCGGCTATGGATGCTTCATCCGCCTCTGCACAGAAGGAAATAACCTCTCAGCAGGTAATGTACCGTTCAGCACCAACAGGTAAACAGCACATTTGCCTGGCATCACAAGGCTTCATTCAACCGAACACAGGAACACCTTTAAATTTACAGCTGGTTTTGCATCCATATCCAAAACATGCAAAAACACCAACAAGGAAAAAAAGGAAGTTGTGTAAATGAATAGAAGCACAAAATACAAGATGACATTGATACATGATTTTTTTTTTCTTTTTTATTTGGGCTTTAAGCTTTGAATAACAAAAATGCAAATTAGTACAAAAATAATGTAAAAATAAAGACAGAGAACTAGAAAGATAAACATCTATACAAAACCATGTCCCCAAAACAATCTATGAAAGACAGAGAAATAAAAGCAAGAAATGCCTAGAAGTATATTTTGCTGGCAGTGAACAAAAACAAAGTGGTTTTAATAATGGGCAGTGATTGGTCACGTCAAACTGAAGTGCTGGTTATGCATGTAAAAAAATATATAATAAAACATTGGTCTGTCAGTAGGAGAAAATCCATCCACTGTGGGTGCACTGTGATGAGTCACAACCATTTTGATATCTGATTTGAGCGGCTTCTAAAATGTCCTCTAATAAAAATCCATTCCATCCATGTGTGTGTGTGTGAGTGTGTGTCGGCCAAATTATTCTGGATTTCAATCTTTCTCTTCCTCTGAGACATCCTTTGCTGAACTTCTAAAAGATTAGTTCCTGGGGTGATCCAGCCAGCCCCTCATCGACCAAACCTAGTGTTAATTTCATGAAAAAAAACAAAACCGAAGACGGTGGCAAAACATATTCCCTATGAGCGATTTCACATAAAAATAGGTGGCAGTAAATACACAGGTCCTTTAAACCAAGAAACTGTAATAACAAGGAAGAAAAAGCCCGGCTGTTGACGGATAATTTGTTATAATACCATGCGGCGAGTTGTGTTTTGCTTTACACCTGCGACAGCTTGTTTTGCCAAGTTTAGGGTTATAAATACAGCGTTGTTGTACTATTTCACAGCCCATGTAATCAAAGTTGACCAGAGTTGGTTGAATTTTCCAACCTGATCCGACAGGGTGTCAGTGTCTGAATGTGTTTGGGCTGCGGTGTACTAATACAGCAGCGTTTATGGACGTAAACATCCATGACAAGCATGACTTTGCACTTTTCTTTTAAAACAAATGAGATTAAGTTCCAACATGTGCCATAACAGTGGCTCAAACGGACTACAAAACTGCTTAACTGTTCTTTATAATGCAATCTGGACCATATTTATATAAAAACAAAATGTCTTAAGTAATCAAGAAGCAAACAGTATAGTTTTCACTGATTAAATGTGCCATAAATGGCAGCATGACTGACATTATTCTCAAAATTAACTCCAAATAAATGCAGCTCCAACGGAAATTTTTAGATCGCAAAGCTTTCGGCCAGGCCTTGAAAAACGTCAGCAGTGAGGAGTTGTCAAGTCTGCTTACAGAAACTGTTCTCCTGTGCATAATCTATTCAACCTTTATTTGTTTGACAAGTTAGAAAAAAAAAAAAGCAAATACAAAAAACTAAACAAACAGCAAGACACTGTGCAGTACTTTGAGTAAATGATCAGGCAGTACAGTTACATTATCGGAGGAAGGAGGTGATTTCCAACTGTGAGTAAAAACCTGAAATCGACCTGATGGCTTGGAAGGAGAAAGAGATGTTTGTTTTTATGATCGGCGCAGAAATGTTCTCAGTCGCTGTCGCTGCGCTCTCCCCTTTGCAGGAGTCTCTTCCCGCTGGAGGGCAGAGGGACCTCGTGCTTCACGGACACCTTTGACTTTTTGCTGTGGAGGGAACGTAGGATGTGTAAATCAGCACAAATTAAGGATGATTTGGTTCATCTGCAATACCTTGAATGGCAATAATGAAAATTAAAAAGCACTCGGGTTCACTAGCATAACCCTATGAAGCTTTACTGAAAAATAAAAAAAATGAAGAAGCAAATTATTAATAGTTTTGACATTAGGCTCCTGTCAGGTAATGTAATTTCATAACATAGCTGTACTCGGATTCTTTCAGGGGACCATCTATTTGGGAATGCCTGACACTGCCTGTCGCTTACACACCTGATATAAATCTAGACATCACTACTTTGTGGTAATATATAGTGGTTACTCTTCAGACTGCACCCAAATCAAATGACAGATGTGAAACATATGTACAATATTGTATTCCGTGAGATATTGCTTCAGCAGATATTTTCAAAAGTGCTTCACAGACTGTTATCAATACGACGTGTGTAATTACGACGACTCTGGGTTATGTAGGAGCAGGCTGATGAACATCATGTTGCCTTATTTAACCTGTGTGCACGGCGCGTTTTAAAAAAAGATCATGTACAGTGACCTCTAGAGTTTAGTTTAGGAGACCTGTGGCGCTGTTGTTGAGGACAACACTGGCTAAAATTCAACTGCCTCAAATGACACCGTAATGTATGGAACAAGTGTAGACTGGCTCGATGCCTGTGTCTATATCGGTATTGTTCCTTGAAACTGTCCTGAGGAGTTAAATGACTTGCACATGCCAACATCCTTCGCCAGTAAGTGGATTGTGATGTTGATATTTTATAACAGTTGCTGTCGAGACTGCTAAAATGGCTCTTATGTACAGTTTCTTGGTGCACCTCTTACCTCTCTCTGTCCAGCAGCTCCAGACCATCATTGATTTTCTTTAACATCTCGTAGCGCTCGCTGCCACGAATCTGTCGCAGAAATTAAACAAGTTATTTCAACATCTGGAAAACCTTTTGATTTCCCACAGACGTCAAACTGTATAGGAATGTACTTACATGCAGAACATGCACATCTTTGTCCTCTTCCTCTGCGCTCGATTGAGATTTGGACTTCTTGACAGAAGTGGTGTCAGGAACAGGAGCAGGAGCACTCTCTAGAAAACAAAAGTGAGGTTAGCAAGGAAAGTGCATGAAAGGACAGAAACTGAAACGCAATTTACAGCAACAAAAGCATACTTCGCTTTTTGGTTTGTTTGGTGCCGTTCTGCATCTTGCTGCTGTTTTCCTCCTCAGTCTTGCGGTCCCTGCCTGGACATGCGCAGACCCGCACCTCAAAGCACCTCCGGCCCAAAACCAGCCCCCTAGAGAAGCAAGTTAACATCAGTCAGGGTCCAAAGTCTTTACAGGGCTGCATTAAAAAAATAGATATAATTTGCAAGATGAAATTTCTCCGATACATCCGGAAAATATATATATTTTCACAATATATCACTCTTACTCTTGTACCAAAAGACACATAAGCATCCACTTCACCCACACTACATCTAGTTAAAGAGAAGATGACTTACTCGGGAGTTTCAAGCGTCAGGATGGTGAGGATGGGCCTGCGATTCATGCCTCCCATGCAGGAGCTGTTGCACATGAAGCTCAGCAGGATGGTTGTCATCTCCGAGCCCAACTAAAGCACAGTAAATATGTTAATAGATTACCTGAGCTTGACACAAAAAAAGGTAAAGGCAACATGAGCTGTGTGATGTTTTTTTAAATTAAATATTCGTACATGTATTGTGATAAATTAATTTTCTAGACTCCAAATTTTGCTTTTTCAGCTTTCAAAAATACAGACTATCTTTACTGAGACACGATTCATATACTCACGTTAGAAAAAACTAATTTTAGGAAATGAGAAGGGGCAGATATCGGCCTTGGAGGGAACAGGCTGAGCCGTCTTACCTGTGGGGGCTCGTAGGGGACAGTGACACTCTGCCTCTTCGTGTGCACATCTTCAAAATACTGAGCCCTCTGGCTGCCCTCCACCCTGATCAGATGGCTTCGATGCTCAGCAGCTAAAACAAGAATAGAAAAAAATTTAAACCAACTCAAAGCCAATATTCCCACAATAAGATACAACAAATTACATTATTGCACCTCACTCTCACAACAGTTTATCACAGAAATGTTTTTACCGTCTTCGTTCTGATGATGGGGGCATCTGCGGACGACGTCGGCCACGTGCTCCGTCTTCTTATAAACCGCTGTCGCTCTCAGAATAGCCCCCTGAGGAGGCTCCTTGTTCACCAGCACTTCAATTGGACTGGTCTTTGCCAGCTGGCAATACAGCTTGTTGAGAAGTTCTGAAAACTGATTAAGCAGAAAGTTGTACATGTTATTATCTGCGTTCTTATCCGAGCTGTGCAATCATACCTGAAGACTTAATGCCAGGGAGTTGTGTGCGATCTGTCTTTACTAAACTAAAACTTTGATCCAAATTGTTTAACTAATTGTTCTGCTTTCAAGAATCCAAAAGATACTTACAACTTAAATTTTGTAATCACTAATGCCAGATTTATGGATTAAACAGTGATTTTTTTAAAACTTTGCCTTCATTTATTTTTAACCCTTCCTGTTCTGAAGGAAGACCATGCAGGAACATGTCCCGTCATGTCAGAAGTGTGCTTTACAACCAGGCTGCGCTGCCTTCTCACACCAGGGCACAAGTCGCAGGAGGCGGGAGATCGGGAGATCGGGGGCAGACCAGCCTAACTCTGAACTGAACTGGCCAACCACATTGCACTGCTGGGTGACTAACCAAAGAAACACCAACCCTATTGGCTCTTAAAGCTCAGTGACTGACTCTAGCCCTTAAAATTCAGCGAATCGTCACAATGAATAAGTTTCTACACGTATGTCAGTGAGAGAGATACGAAAGAAAGGATTTTTAGTTCGCCGCCAAGGTAAGACTGCATTTTACTATTTATTCAAAAGCTTTTAAATTTCACAAGCTTTTAAAACATTAAAATTAGTCTACTAAGTAACTAACTGAGTAATGAAAACTACAGACCAGTAAGTGAGATTACAGAAGTAAAACGTTAAAATTTTCAAACTTAATTTTTAAATTGTGCCTAGGTGAGCTGAACTTAATTTTAGGGAATCAAACAACTACCAATAGTAGTGCAGTTTCTCCATATAAAAGTGTACAATAGATGGAGAAAATTAAGTTAAGCAGTGAGCTTCGCCTCTATGAGCAACTGCTAAAATCCCCTTTGTCTCAGGCGAGGGGCTCAGGCAGCAGACTTCTGCTCCTCATCACGTTTGGTTGCTTGATAATCTACTGCAAGTCCCACTGAACTTTTAACATTTGGGTAACGTTTTAGATGATGAATGATACACTATGTGCATTGAATTATTAATTATTATTGAATTATTTTCTGCTGGTAAGGTTGTGGGTAACTTGTTCGGAAATCAAAATCTGGTACAACTAAAATGAATGAAAATGCATGTGGAGGCGGATTTAAAAATACAACAAAACAACAAATAAGTTGAATTCCAAAACTTTCAGAGTCAGGTCAAGGATAACTTACAGTGGAAGTGACAGACTTGGCTGTGCCAGACTTCTGAAAGCGAAGCTGGAAGGCATATTCCCCCGGGTAGTCGGTTGTAACCGGGACGGTGGAGGAAGGGGGAGTAACACCATCTTTAGGTAGCACATCTGGATGCAGCTCAAACAGATTCTCGTCGAATCCTTCTGTCAGAACTTGCTCATTAATGAGCTGTTAAAGGAGAGACGTGAGTCAGTGCTCCGTCATGCACACATTATCTTACATTGAAGTTACCAATGTTTTATTACGGACAAATATCTAACAGAAAGTTTTCTACTGCAGTAATTAATTGTTTTGTTCCTGAGCAATGAATAGAGTTTACCTGCATATCCATTTGACCATCGGCTCTCCATGGCTCATTCACCTCAGTTGCAGTTGGAGTGGTAAACATGGGAGCAGCAACACTGCAAAAACAAAAATACCCCAACTGGTTCACTTTTTAGGCACCTTTTGTATTCATGCATTTTTAAACTGTTATCTACTGTGAAAACTTTACTTACACACTCTCCCATAGCTCCCTAAAAGAATCCTGGCTCAGTGGCAGGTTCTGGCTCAACTGCAGGCTGTCGAAACTTTGCTCTTCCATCATTAATTTCCCTCCTTGCTGAGCTGAGAGAAAATGAGGAAGAGCCAAGACGCCGGAGTCCTGCAGGGACGGACAGGAAGGAAGCACTAGAGTTAATCTGATGAGGTATGCAAAAGCTCAGTTTATTGCGGTGTGACAAATTCCTCTGGCTTTAAACAGGTTTTGTGACAAAAAAAACAAAAATTTGAGAAACAACTGATCCATGTCACTACCTTTTCTTAAAAAAACAAAACAAAACAAAAAAACACACAAACAAACAATTTCCAAGAGCCCAAAATGATGTCTACAAAATGGTGTTTGTTAGCTTGTGTGGCCTAAAGTCACAAAACATCCAATGTACAATTATGGTAACACAGAGGAACGCATCAAACATTTGCAAGTGAAAAGTGACTTTAAACAACCAAACACTCGCAGGGGCAACTTCAGTCACACGATTAAAACCTATACATCCAGCTGAAAAGATATGAATTACACCAAATCCTAGACTGAAATAAACAATCAACAAATGAAAACCATTTTGAGTGGGAAACCCAGCCGTTGTGTAATCTGTCTTGGAAATGAATCTGCTAAATGCTAACTGGTAAGCCTTGGTTGCCATCACACTGGAAATGCGACTTCAAAATAAGTAGGCCTTTTGCCTGAAAAACTATTGACTAATGCTAGCCTGTGCAACCACCTAATTAGACAACAATTCCTAGAAACATACTTCAAGAATATAAAGTGGAAACGTAATAAACAGACTTCATTAAAGCAGCCGAAGCAGCACGAAAAACATTAAACCTGCTAGCATTAGCTATCGTCCATTTTATGTCGTGCAAGAGGCCTGCAATAATTGAATGAAGCTAGCTTCGTTTAGCCGCGGAATCGACACCCCATAATAATTCGACAAACAAAACTTAATTGGAGTCAAAATATGCATACAAACAAACAACTATCAACTATGTACCGAACGATAGGCCCATACTAATTGCGCAGGCACAACTTTTTTTTTTCGTTGTTTAGCGGGTTTCGCATTAGGCTAATTACGTTAGCACGACGTTTTGGAATCCGACCGACCGACGATAGCTAGCTTAAACTGCGACAACTTTTTTGACGTAAAAAATAAGTTGCTTTCATGGGGTTACAAAAATGTAGGACACATGTATGACCACACAACTACCTTGAATGTCCTGCTGTCGCTCTCCAAGAAAGGTGAGTCACAGGCGATACAAGCTGAAAGTGACTAAAGACCCAAAATATTTTGAGGCCAAACAGACCACGCTGTTGTTGGGGATTCCCACAGAAATGAGGGGGGAGGGGCGACGGCTTTTATTAGCGAGCAGCGTCCAATCACAGCTCGACCTCATATCCTGCCGCTTCCTACGTACACAACAACGCCAGAGCCTGGTGCTGCATTCAGAGCCACTGGACATACTGGAATTCTGCACGGACAAACTATAACTAAGCGATATTAAATGCGGTTCAGATTTGGTTTATGATTCAAATACCTGAAAGAAAAAATACATTTTTGGTAAAAAATAGACACATGGGGGTTTTCTTCTGAGATTTTTTGTCGTTTTTTAAGATAATCCCATCAAGAATAGGTTACACGATTTACTTGTGTTTTTATTTTTTTGTTTAGTTGAAGAATAAATGACAATATTTCACACAATAGGAAAAGATGATGTGATAATATTGCAATGCTAATGATTTTACATAATTTTACACTGTCTTAACCATATTACTTATTTGGTGTTCTACCATTTTCTTATGTGTACAATTTTTTTGTTTTAATGGTTAAGCAGATTCAGAGACTGGTGATGAAATGAGCAAATAAATCTTGCTGTGACACCATATAGGATACAAATCTGTGAATATATAGCTGCCTTTAACAAAAACCTCACTGACATACTTATCACGAACTAAACTTTTGATGAGCACCTGAAGGCAACATGACGACAATATGACGAATAGAAAACGAAACGTCAGTGGAAATTAAAAAAATAAATAAAGAACCCTTTAAACGTAAAAATGCTTGGTTTTATAATACAAAAATTGAGTTTTCAAAATCGCTGCTTTCCTAACAGCTGCCTCTCTTGTCATTCTGATATTACTCATTTTTATATTGTGTAGAGTGCTATGTTAAGAAAGTGTTACCTGTTCCAACTACACAACACTGTATTTTTTTTTGTTTACTCACAGTTTTTTCAGTATATCCTAAAATGTGCAAAAAAAAAGTGTTATTTGTTCATTAAAACCTTTTATTGTGGTCAAATTTAAAACGCTATATCAACATGTTCAGCATTCCCCTCAAGATGTGGTTATGATTTATAGTTATTTAAAATGAAAAAGATTATAAAATCAGAAATATTAGCTAACACTTGCAATACTCTAAAGAAAATGTTACCATTTTTAAAAAAACTGACAGTTGAGATTTTAGTGAAGCTGCTCAGTGTGACAAGTTTAACTTTGATGATTGAACCCACACTTCTTTCTCTCTCTAGTGAGGTCCGAGGTCGACTTTGAATGAATGTCCTTCCAGTGAACGGGGTCAGCACCTCGCTGTCATCTGACTATCAGTGGAGGTTCCCTCCTGCCCGGGTCAGGTCATCTAGCTCCCTTTACACTCTGCTGGAATCATGGCTAATACCACAGTGCGCATCTCTCAGGATCTGTCATGGTTCAAAGAAACTGACGACCAGGTCAAAAGGTGAGGCAGCACCTTTACCAACTCAGACAGCTGACAGATCACAGAGTCTCTCTGAAGGTGCCCACTGCATTTAAGCATCACAATCATTTTTTATGACATAGCTCTTTCTATTTTTTTCTATTGTTCTTAAAGAATGCGCTCATTTTGTATTATTGTTGTCGCACTGCCTTGAGGAACAGTCACTTTACATTTCACTGCACACACTGCTTAAACATGTGACAAATAAAAACTCTTTACTCCGAATCATGAGTCTTGAGTTTCAGTTAAAGGCAGCTGTTCCCACTTCAACACCCGGATGTGATTTTGTAATACATTCTACTAGGTGTTGGCATCATATCAGATCTCATCACCCTTCAAATGCCCCTTTACTGATAAGATTAACCACCTCTGTACCGCTGGGGGCCTGGTTCGGCAGAGCGACAGCTGGGTTGGGCCATTTGTGCCACGCTGCCGCTGTCTTGTCTTGAACTGGTGAATTCATTGAGTACACACTGAATGTTGGTTCTCCTCCACCTCTCAGAGTGCATGGCAGTTATCGGTGCCACTTCGGGGATAGGTGGCTCTTTGACCTTTGAATGAATGTGCTGATGGGGCCAGTGAGTCCACTCTGAACTTGATCCAGACTGCCACTGTAAAAGCAAAGTCAAACAGAGCAAGACAGGGGCGAAAAGGGAAAGAGAATTTTTCACGACTAATTTTATTCTTTTAATGGTGCCGCATCACGTCAAACTAATCTCATCCTCTGTTTAATTTTATATATTCCCATAGTGTACATGCCATGAGGTTGGACAAGAGGCGGTGTGTTTTGA